TTGGCCCAGACTTCCATTCCCGTGAGAGCGCTGTTGACTAGGAGCCCCTTGACCATGTTGACCTTGAGCCTCCAGGGGGACTTCGAGTACCAAAAACTGCCCATAGTGTAGAAGCTGGAGGAGGAGGAGGAGGAGGAGGAGGAGGAGGAGGAGGAGGAGGAGGCGTAAGCGTAAGCGTAAGCCAGAGCCCTAAAGGAAGTTTGCCGTACGAGACGGCGCGGGCCTGCCTCCTCAGATGACCACGTCCAGGAGGAATGCAACACCTTGCGGGGTCAGGGAGAGGCCTGCCCGAAAGACAACCCCTTCGCCGACCCCGATCCCGTCGCCCTCAGGCGACGGGCCCAAAACCTGCAGGCCTAGCCAGCGCCCTCGCGCATCGCCGCGGCCCACTCGAGGAAGGTGTTCCAGCAGCCGCCGTCCTTGAAGTATTTCGCGAGCGCCTTCACGCTCTCGTCACACAGCTTGAGGCCGTTGCTCTCCAACCTGAGCTTTACGTCCTCCAGCTCTTTGATGTCCTTGTAGGCCTCCGTGCCGACCGCCACTTCGAGGTATGAGGCCCTCTGACGTGGATCACGAAGACCATGGCCAGGGCCGCCACCACCACCAGGCGCATGTAGGACCTTGTCGATGGTGTCGGTCTTGAGCCTCGCCGCTGCTGCACGCTGCGCCCATACCAGCTCCGTCTTGGAGAAGGCCTCGGCGTTCTGCTGCAGCACCGCCTTGAACGTATCGTCATCGTGAGTCGCAGATCTATCCAGCGGCTTCGGCCGCTGGTCCTCCCGCCCACTCACGCCCATGTCTATGTTGGAGCTCATCTGCACGTTGACGGAGTCCTGCTGCTTCGAGCCCTCCGCCGTTACGGCAAACTTCTCGTCGTCGGGAGCCGCTGCACTGCCCAGCGGGTTCAGTCGCTGGTCCTGCAGCCCGCTCGTGCCCACGTAGATGTCATTGTGACTACTGCCCGGGATCTCGACGATCGTCTCAGCGCCGGCGGTGTCCAGCTTCTCTGCGGCCGCATCCGCCACGCCAGGCATCAGGCAGTCCGTGTTGAGGCTCTCCTGCTCGTCGATGGTGATCAGCTGCTGCGCGCCCACATCCATCACGGCAGGCTCCTCATGCTTCGTGTCGAAGTCGTCCAGATCGAGGTACCACATGTTGACTCCATTCAAACATTCCTCCTCGATGTCCTGGGCGTCCAGGGAGTACATCATGACCAGCTTGGGCATCCCGGCCTCCTGCGCCGTGGGGCTCTTCAGCGGCGCGGGCTGCGCGACCGCCGCCTCCAGGGCGCGCTGCTGAACATCTGGTCCTTCCTGTCCTTCCTGTCCTTCTTCTCCTTATTGCGGGCCTCCTTCTCCGCCTTGCGCTGCTCGCGGATCTCGCGGTGCTTGCGAAGCTGGCGGAGCTCCTCCCATTCGGCCTCCTCCTTGTGCGCCTCCAGCGCGTCGAGGAACACCTGGCGAGCCGACGGCCTTGGCGAGCTGGGGCTCGGAGTAGCCGCCGATGGCGCCGTCGATGGAGTGGGCCTCCGCGTCCAGCGGTTCCTGCGCTGGAGCACGCCGCCCTGGTCGCCCTCCTTGCCCTGGGGCTCGTTCACCTGGCAGTCCTCCAGCGCTAGCAAGGGGGGCTCCACTGGCGGTGTCGAACTCGGCCGAGCCCGCGCCTTGGGCCGCGGCGCCTCCGTGGGGGGTGGGCGCGGCGGCTGCGCTGGCATCTCTTGCCACAAGCCTGGTGGCGGCTCGAGCGGCGGGCTGTTGAAGGCCGCCTCGAGCGCCGCCGCCACCGCCGATGAGACCACCGTCGCCATCGCTTCGCGCCTCCATGCCATGAAGGGAGGTTCAGTTGCTCTGGGAGACTTTGGCTCGCAGACACGAGCACCACTTCGAAGTACGTGCCTGCAACACTCTCGAGTGCGAAATGGCTAGGAGGAGGAGGAGGAGGAGGAGGAGGAGGAGGAGGAGGAGGGGGAGGGGGAGGAGGAGGGAGGAGGAGGAGGAGGAGGAGGAGGAGGAGGAGGAGGATAGGAGGAGGAGGAGGAGGAGGAGGAGGAGGAGGAGGAGGAGGAGGAGGAGGAGGAGGCGGAGGAGAGGAGAGGAGGAGGAGTGGAGGCGGGCGGAGGAGGAGGAGGAGAGGAGGAGGAGAGGAGGAGGAGGAGGAGGATGGAGGAGGAGGAGGAGCGAGGAGGAGGAGGAGGAGGAGGAGGAGGAGGAGGAAGGAGGAGGGAGGGAGGGAAGGGAGGGAGGAGGGACGGAGGGATGAGCAGGAGCAGGAGCAGGAGCAGGAGGAGAGAGAGGAGGAGGAGGAGGAGGAGTGAGGAGGAGGAGGAGGAGGAGGAGGAGGAGGAGCTCTGAGCTGGACGCCTTGGGAGCGCCAACGCCCCTGCTTCTAAGAAGCCTCCGCTGGTGCGCGCCGCCAGGGGGCCCATTTCCCGATCCCGCTCTCATGGGTCGTTTGGGGGTGGTCTTGGGGGCCTCTTGGGTCGTCTCGAATCGTCGGAAAGCCGAGAAGGCGAGAACGCCAGCATTCTTCAACCTGAGGGAAATCAGTGATTTTTGCCTCTTGGGGCACTCTTGGGAGGCCTCTTGGAGGCCTCCTTTTGGGCGTCTTGGGAGGCCTCTTGGCCTCGTACGCCCGAGGCAGGAGAAGCTGCGTGCACGTGACGTTTCTGAGCTCCGTGCGGGTCTCTCGGGGTCGGCCCTGAGTCCCCCCCTGGTGGCGCCTTCTGCGCCGCCTCTGGCGCGCTCGGCGCCGATCCGAGACATACGCGCGGATCTCGAAGAAATACAACTTTTCATAAGCACAACCTTTTGGCGCTCTGCGCGGATTTCTTGGATCCGCGCTGGGCCCCCCCCCCGGCGGCGCCTCCGGCGCCGCCCCTGGCGCGTTCCGCGCGCCAGGGAGGGGGGTCAAGCGCAGATCCAAGAAATTCGCGCGGAGCGCCAAGAGGTTGTGTGTATGCCGTGTTCTGGCTGAGACTGTTTTATTTGAACACGTCGGGCTCATGTTCTAGGAACTTTGTTTTGCTTCTTAGAAGGTTTTTGGGTTCTAAGAACATGTCGTGGCAGGCCTAGAGGAATGCCAGGACGGTCGGTCCCTGGTCAAAAGACATTCGCGCGGACTTCCGAGAGTTTGTATCTTGTTCGCGTGTGCCCCACGAAGTAGTTCTCTGATCAAAGCAGGCAGGCAGCCCATGCCGCAGAAGCTGCGGCGTCAGCAACTGCTTTCTCTTACGGCAGGGTGGTGAGAGCCCCCGATAACGTTGTGCTGACGTGTCGAACATTTCGTCCTGGGGCTCTAGCTTCAGATGTTCCAACCTACTTTAGCTTTGATCACCAGAAAGAATTTCGAGCACCAAGACAGTATCGAAACTGGTGGGTTCTCACGTGTCAGGTCTCAGAAGGCGATACTCGTTCGACACTTCGTCAACGTATCGGGCAGACACGGGTTCGATACTTTCCTGGGTGCTCGAAATTATTTATGGGATGTGGTCCTTATGTGCGATGGGAACAACGTAGTGCAAGTATGTGAGGTGGGTAGGGCGCCCTAGAAACGAACGGACTGGGCAGGTGCAAAAGCATGCAGCCAATGTTCCTGCAAACATTCAGGATTGCAGTTCTTGGGCGAGAGCCTTTGCTCAGAATTGTGTGTGCTAGATCTGTCCACGCGCTTTTCGGCGTATGACTTGCGATGCGATGCGATTAGTTCTTCCGTTTGTTCCTTCACACACACATATATATACATATAGATGTGCCCCACTGGTCGCACATCCAGACGTGTCGGTCGGGCCCGCTGGGCGTTGCGCCTGAGACTTTCTCATTTTTTGCGACCCTGAAGTTTGAATTCTGCAATAGCTTCATGGCTGGAGGGCATGTGATTTTCAACATGTGGCTCTCGCCTAAGCGCCGCGCGCATTCGAATTACAGGTTTGCAGCAGTTCAAGGATGTAGGACTGGCTATATTCAACATGTGGCTCTCGCTTCAGCGCCGCGCACATTCGATTCACAAGTTCGCAGCAGTTTCAAATATTAATGGCGGTTCCTTGTCGAACCGTGACTCTCGCCTTAGCGTCGCGCGCATTTGTTTCATCAGGTTGTAACGGTTTCAAGGAGTCGTAGGGTTGAAGTCGCAGGCATGGTGTCTTGGCGAGATTCAGAATTGTTTTGTCAGCACGCAGCACTCGCGTGAACTCGTGGAGGGTGGGTTTGGTGCAAGGTCGTTGATGCATGTGTCTTGGGCTTACACTGGTCCTCCTCCTCCTCCTCCTCTTCCTCCTCCTGGTCCTCCTCCTCTTCTTCTTCCTCCTCCACAATTACTCAATATGAATTCTACTCTCCCTCTTCCCCTGATGACGTCTTGGGAATATTCGCCCCCCCCCGCGTACTGTTTTTTTACACACAGGTTTCCCCGGAGTTGGGTTTTCGCCTGCATTTTTTTCCAAAATGCTGCTCTCGCTGAGGCGCCGGCCTCATTTTCGGGCCCCGCTCGTTCCGAATCGTGCTCCCGCTGCAGCGCTGGCATCATTTCCGCCGGCGCCCGGGCTGCACGCCCGAGCCGGCGCCCGGGCTGGCGCTCGGGCCGGGTCCGGATTCGGTTCCGGCCGGCGCCGGAAAATGAGGCGGCGCCGAAAAAAGGCCACGAAAAAAGGCCATTCTAATACACATTTTTGTTTTGAAAGTGCTGAATTTCTGCTTCCGTCGCCCGGGAGGCCTCCCGGGCCGATTCCGACGCCCAGGCCGGCGCCCGAGCCGGCGCCCGGGCCGAACGCCCGAGCCGGCGCCGAGGCCGGCGCCCAGGCCGGGTCTGGAGCCGGTTCCGGCCGGCGCCGGAAAATTGAGTTCCGAGGCGGCGCCGAAAAAGGCCATTCCAATACAATTTTTCTTTTGAAAATGCTGAATTTCTGCTTCTGGCGCCCGGGAAGCTGTCGGGGTTAGATTTTCGCTTGCAATGTTTCCCAAAATGCTGCTCTCGCTGAGGCGCCGGCCTCATTTTCGGGCCCCGCTCGTTCCGAATCGTGCTCTCGCTGCAGCGCTGGCCTCATTTCCGTGCTTCCGCTCGTTCCGAATCGTGCTCCCGCTGCAGCGCTGGCCTCATTTCCGCGCTTCCATTCGTTTCGATTCGTGCTCCCGTTGCAGCGCTGGCGTCATTTCCCGTGCCATGCCAAGCATGCAATACAATGCTAGGTTGATGTAACGCTTCGCGGTGCTCTTCTACGCCATGCTATGCCGTGCTCTACAATGCATCGCGTACCCTTTCGGGATCATCGCCCTGCTTGACATCCGACTGTGCGCGTAGAGAGGGGATCTGCGCCATGGTAAGGGATGGGGGGGAGGGGTAGGATGTCAGATATGACGCGAGCGCACCCTTCTTGTCCTCCTCCCCCTCCTCCTCCTCCCCCCCCCACCTCCTACCCACTTTCCGCCTGCTCCTCCCGTCCTCCCCCCCTCCCCCCTCGAGGGGTCCTGTGGGAGAGCGGGGCAACCCTGAGCAGGGCGAGGAGGGGGGAGGGGGAGGTGAGATGAGGAGGGAGGGTGGAGGAGGACGAGGAGGAAGAAGAGCAGGGGAAGGAGGAGGAGGAGGAGGAGGAGGAGGAGGAGGAGGAGGAGGAGGAGGAGGAGGGAAAGGATGCTTGGAGGAGGAGGAGGAGGAGGAGGAGGAGGAGGAGGAGGAGGAGGAGGAGGAGGGGGAGGACTAGGAAAACGGTGTCGGGAGGAGAAGGATTGAGGAGGACGGCGAGGATGAGCTGGAGTAGGGAGGTGGAGGAGCAGACATGGTGAGCGCGGATGGATGGATGGATGGATGGATGGATGGATGGGTGGGTGGATGGATGAATGGAGATGATGAGGACGATGCTGCTGATGATGATGATGATGATGATGATGCTGATGCTGATGATGATGATGATGATGATGATGATGATGATGATGATGATGATGATGCTGATGATGATGATGATGATGATGATGATGATGATGATGATGATGATGATGATGGTTCTGATGACGATGATGATGGTGACGTTGATGAAGCTGATGATGGTGATGATGACGATGATTGTCGTGATCTCACGGGTTTCCGATGTATCTTGTGGACCGCCGCCGTTCTGGTTGCTCAAGTCTTGAGGGATGTGGGAGAGGCTCACAAATCACGCCGTCACAGGGGTGGTCTCCTATCTCGCTAGGTGCCCGCAGGTGCCATCGTGTCCCGCCTGTCCCGTGTGCTCGTTGGCGTGCGGGTCGCCAGCTCCTTGCCTTGGGTGCTCGCTGCAGTGCCCGGCGATCCCGCCGTGCGCGGAGGTCGCCCCGGCGGTGTGCCCTTCGCCGCCGCCCTGCCCGACGCCGGCGTGCCCGACGTGTGGGGCGTGCCCCGCGCCAGAGGCCGCGCCCGCGCCCGCGGGGCCGGAGGTGGCGGCGCCTTCGGCGGCGGCCGTGCTGGTGAGCGACGTCGCCATCGACCTGCGCTCCCTGGCCGCGGGCCTGGTGGGCGGCGCTGTGGGCTTCCTGCTCGCCGCTGCGTGCGTCGGCTTCTGCTGTGTCGTGCTGCGGAAGGATGCTCGTCCGCGTGTTCGGCATACTGCTGGCTGTATCAGTGATGGCGACGGTGGCCACGAGTCGCTCGGAGTACGCCTTCTACGCCGACGAAGTGGTGTGGCACCAGCACTTGAATCTGCGGGGGGTGGCATCGTCCGAGGCTGACCGCGTGAACTACACGGCGGACAGCGATCCACACACCGTCGTGTTGGCCAACAATGCTGAGGTGCAGGCGGCACGTTTCGGTGCCTTCGACCCGTCGCCTCCAGGGATCGCGGGCGTCCAGGTTCATCGATCGAGGGCCGAGCCGACGGATTCGGAGCTGGCCCAGTGCACTTTGGAGGCGGAGCAGATCGCCACAGCGGAGTGCTGCACCAGGGCTGCGGCCATCGGCGACCTTGGCCTGCCCACCAACCTGCGGTCGTTGGTCGGGCCAGGAGGAGGAGGAGGAGGAGGAGGAGGAGGAGGAGGAGGAGGAGGAGGAGGAGGAGGAGGAGGAGGAGGAAGAGGAGGAGGAGGAGTGGTTGCCCCCAGCGTGCCCGCGGGTCCTGTGCTGGGCTCGCGGTGCGGAGCTGCCGTGCCCCCCGCGGGTGTGCCTGGAGGTGACCCTGCTGGGGTGCGAGGGGCAGCCGCCTGCGAGGGTGGATATCGGATTGGCGATGTGGTGCTTGGGCGCGAGGCCCCTGCAGCTCGAGTCCTGGATCGGGACATGCATGTGCTGCCAGACGGCCAGGGCTTGCTCGTGGAGCTGGGGCCGCCGGCCGCTCCCGAGACCTTCTTGCGTGAAGCTGTTGATGCGGACACCAGGATCTTGCCCATTGTTCGAGATGGGAGAGGTCGAGGCGGCGTCCCGGGCCACAAGACTGAGGAGATGACCAGCCAGGAGGATTTCGGCTCGGACGGGACGCTGCCGTGCCCGAGGACGGCTGCGGGGTGCATGAGCTACCTGCAGTGGGAGGGGCTCTGCAGCAGCATAGAGGGCCATCACGAGCACTTGGCGCAGGTCGGTAGGCTCGCCACCACGGATTGGGGAGTTCAAGTACACTGCGAGCTGTGTCAGCATATCAGAGCGGCCACCAGTCAGGACCTCCTAGAAGGGGCTAACCTCATCAGCATTGAGATGAAGGTTGGGAGGCCTCAGACCTTCGAGTTTGCCCACTGGGACAAGGCCGTAGGCGCCGAGAGCAAAGGCGTCGGTGGCAAGATGGGTCTGAAGGGGCAGGCCGCTGTCTCGGGGTTTTCACGTTCAACTTCGTCGGTGATGGTATCTCCAGGAGTGATCGAGCAGGTCCACGGTGGCTTCGAGAAGGAGGCGATGCTACACAAGAGTTTGCGCCTGGGCCGCGAGGAGCGGGAGTCCATGCGCGAAAATGACTGAGCATCGGAGCCGTGCTGGCATCGGAGGGGGGGCCAGCACGAGTACTACACCCCTCCAGGACGGCGACCCGTGCGGGCCCTTCTTCCCTCAGGATGTCCGCGTCATTGGCAGGCGTCGGCCCCGGGACATCTTGCCGCTGCCCTATCCCTCGTTCAAAGAGCCGCTGGATAAGGCTTCCATCAAGGAGCTCGCCCGAGGTACGAGGCAAAGGATTGGGCGAAGGCTTGGTGTCTGTAGCGATGTTTATGCATGCGTGGACGCTCTTAATTGGCTTCATGACCCGCCCCTCCGCTGTGGTCGTGACCGTTCTGCACGATACGTTGGGCCATCACTAGCCCAGAGCCAGTGCCTTGCCCACATCTCCGAGTCGGTGCGCAACCTTGGTCCGCCGCCGTCGACTCTTCCTCCCGCAGAAGCGCTGGTGCAGCTTCGCGTGGCCGGGGGTGCCTACAATGTCGAGCAGTCGCCCCTCGGGAGTTACGACCCCGCGCTCCCGAGCCCCTGGGCGCGCGGCTTGCGACGGGCGACGCCTTTGGTATGCTCGAGATGGCGGCGGACGACTCGCTCCTGACGGTGGAGGGCGCCGACCTGAAGGACGCCTTCTACCACTTTGAGCTCCCCGAGCAGCTCCGTCCCTGTTTCAGCCTGCGACCTGTGCGCGCGGGCGTCCTGGGCATCAAGGAGGTCGGCGGGGTCGCTGTCGGAGCCTCCACCAAGCTCTACCCGCGCCTCGGGGTCGTGCCCATGGGTTGGTCCTGGGCAATGTGGTGGTGTCAATCGGTGATGGAGCGAGTGGCAGAGGCAGCAGGCCGTGGTGATGACGCACGACTTCGAGATGGCAGGCCCGCTCCCTTGCTGGACCCATCGTGTCACCTGGAGTACGTCGACAACTTCGTGGGCATCGGCTACGACGCGGAGGCGGTTCGGTCCGCCGTGGCCCGTGTCATGACGGAGCTCAAGCGCCGGGGCTTGGTGGTGACCAGGGGGGAGCACCTCGGTGACAGCGAGGGCGAGTATGCGGTACTGGGTTGGTCCATCACTGCGGCGGGGCGTCTCTCGGCTTCTGCTTCGAGATTGTGGAGGGTGCGGTTAGCGGTGCGTGGTCTTCTGCGCCGTGGTCGTGCCAGTGGTCGTGACCTCGAGCGCGTGCTGGGCCACATCATGTTCGTCGCTCTCGTTCGGCGTGAGGGCTTAAGCATCTTCGAGGCGAGTTTCCGCTTTGTCCAGAAGTGCTACGACCAGCAGGTGCCGCTCTGGTCTCAGGTCAGGCAGGAGCTCATGGCCTGGGATGGCGTCGCTCCCTTGCTGTGGCGTGATCTCCGTGCCCAGTGGTCGTGTTCCGTCGGCTGCGTAGACGCCTCCCCTCGGGGGTTGGGCGCCTGCGAGGCTGATTGGGATGTCGGCGCTGTTCGGGAGGTTGGTCGTCATAGCGAGCGGTGGCGCTATGGCAGGGCTGAGCGCTTGCCTCCTCGTCGCCGGGCCCTTGCCGCTGAATGCGCCGCCGACGGGGTCGCAGCCTGTGACCTGGGGATCGTAGCGGCCCAGCTCGATCCTGGCTGTCCTGCGGAGGACAGCCAGCCCGTCGGCCCGCCTGTGGAGCGCGACCTGCTCGCCTTTCCCGAGGTCTCAAAGAAATACCTGGACAAGTCATTGTGGCGTGTCACGGGACGTCGTAAGTGGGATCGCCTTGGGGGGATGCCTGTTCTCGAAGCTCGGGCGGTCCTGTACCGCGTTCGGCATGCACTGCGGGCCGTTCGGGACCATGGGAAGAGGATGCTTGTCCTGGGAGATTCTCTCGCGTCTGTCTGTCTCGGCGGCCTCTCGGATGCGGGCCCGCAGCCGCACCGCGTTGGGGATCGTGCGCCGTATTGGGGCTCTGTCTCTGGCGTCTGGGAGCTCTTTCTGTATTCGGTGGATACCGTCTGAGTATAACGTCGCGGATGGCCCCTCTAGAGGCCGGGGGGGGCCCGGTCTCCCTGCAGCTGTCATTCTAAAGGAGGGCCTCTGCAAGACCCCGAAGTACAAGGTCGGCCTGGGCCCCGAAGAGTACGACCCCCCCAGGGGCCCCATCAAGGTAGGCTACTTCGTGACCTAGGTAAGGTAGAAGGAGAGCCCCATAGGGATCCCGATCAAGATCAGTACGGACCAGCACTACACGGTTCTCAAGAGCGGGGTCAGCACCAGCACATGCACGAAGAGGTGGGCGAGAAGGTGGTTGAGGAGGAGGAGCGCGAGTATGATGAGGGCCTCGGAGTGGCCTCGCTGGAGGGCGTCTGGGGAGCTCGTGGTCCGCTTCGCTCTGAGGCGCTGGCTGGCCCAAGACCTCCTACGTATTCTTCCATATGTTGTCGGCTCTCTTCCTCGTCGCCCTCGCCAGCGCTCCTCCGGCCAGGTCCGCGGGGCCAGTGCAGGGGGGCGCCTGCAAGCGGCCAGCCGCGGCTGCGAGCTTGCCGCCGGCGGGGGCCTCCCTGGCCCGTGGGGCTCGCAGGGCTGGCTTGCAGGCGCCGACGCTGCCGGTGCTCCAGGCCTCGCCCGCGAGCCGCCAGGGCTCGAGCGGTGGTCCCACGTCGCGGCAGCGGGCTCGGCTGGTCCAGCCGCCAGCGGGCATGCCGGAGCTCAGCGCGGCGTCCGTGCGCGCGGCGTCGGAGCGTCAGGCTTGCCTCTCGATGCGCGGGGGTTTCGACAACTGGGCAAGACAGCATCTGCGGGCTATGCAGGAGCCTGCCCAGATGGACCGAGCGGTCTGCGACGTCACCAGCCAGCTCGTCGAGCGGGGGGATCACCAGACCTACGCCAACCTGATGATGGCGGCGCTGGCAGGGCGCGATCCGCGCTATGCCAGGTCGTGCCAGTTCGGGCTGCCGCTGTCCAAGCAATCCGCCAAGGTGTGGTGCATCCTGGCCCATGCTCGCAGCCGAATCGGCGCGCAGGAACCCGACGCCAACACCAAGAAGCCACTAGAAAAGAAAACATTGCAGCCTCTGTTGAATGCCGTCGCCCGTGTCTTCGGTTCGCGTGTCCAGAGTTGATGAATGCCAGCTCTGAGCGCGTGGGAACATAACGGGCCGTCTCCAGTTCCCCAAGTGAGCGTTAGGATTTCCATGGGCCGCGCGAGTCCCGCGGGCCGTGCGAACCCAGCCAGCCCCATGAACCCCGCAAGTTCCACAAAGGGCTTCATGGGCCGAACGTGCGCCGCAGCGCGCGTAAGCCCAACGCGCCGCGCTGGCCCAGCATGCCGCGCGGGCACCATTGGCTCCCTGACTCGTCAGGGCCACATCTGGTTTCTGAGCCTTGGAAACCCCGCGGGCCATGGGAGCCCCGTGGGCCTCAGGGGCGCCATGAGCTGCATGGGGCGTTTCCCTATCATGGAAGCACCGTGGCTTGCAAAGTCGGAGAGCAATGCGAGCCATCTCAAGCTTTCTTGGCTTCGTTGGGTCGCTCAGCCCCGGCAGGGAAAGCGATCCGAACTTTTCCAGTGGCGTCTTGGTGCTGGTGCCGGCTTTTTGTTCCCTGCAACATCAAAAAGCCGACGCCAGCACCAAGGCCCCCACTGGAACGGCGGCCCCATGTGCGAGCTGAACCCCTCGACGATTTCGGAAGGTTGCCACGGGCTGCGGGCTTGGGTCAAGAGGGGGCCGCGGTCTTATGCCCAGGCCGCGACGGGCGGCCACCGCCCCCTTTCGCAGAGAGCGGCGGATTCGAACTCGCCGGGCCATGGTGTCGGGCCAGACGGGGGTCAGGGATGCGACGCGGGCGGACATAGGGTGGGTGAGGGGTGGGGGGAATGAGAGGGGGGCGGGCGGGCGGGGGTAGGCGTGGTGGAGGGCGGCGGTGGGGGGAGTGAAGCTTCAGCCATGGGGAATGCCGCAGCCTTCCCTCTTCTCTCCCTCTTCTCCCGAGAGCGCCCGCTAGTTTCGCTTCTCGCTTGCACTTGTTATTTCTTGCTTTCCCTCCTGCGTGCTGCGCGACGTCTCCCTTCCCCCGCCCTCCTCGCCCACTCTGCGATTCCTCAGGCCAGGGCGGGCTCCCGCTGGTCCAAAACGCAATTCGACATTTCGTGAAACAAATACTTTCTTGGTGCTGGTGTCGGCTTTTTGTTCTCCCACCGAATGGCCCTTCCGTGCGAGGTCATCGCCATGGTGGTCTACGGCGTGCTCCATGCAGTCGACCAGCGGAGTGTGGCCAACGCAGGCAGGGGGGCTGTCACCGCCCTCGGCCTCCGCAGGCTGGGTGCCTGCCACGGCCTCCAGCTCCGCCACTCAGGCCCAAGCCACAACTACGCAACTGGGCTGCGCGACCTGGAGCAGATCAGGCGGCGGGGGTGCTGGAAGAGCTGGAGCTCAGTCCGCTGGTGCGGAAAAGAAGGCCGCCTGACCGAGCAGCTGCACCAATTAGGAGGGCTGCAGCGAGAGCACGCGAAGGCCTGCGCTCGCTTGCTGAGCCGTGCGTCGCACGGCCTGCCCTCAGCATTGGTGCCGGTCTGCCCGACCCGCCAGTGATTTTAGAGTTGTTCTCTGGCTCAGCAGGATTTTCGATGGCGGTCGCTCAGCTAGGCATGCCTGTTTTGATGTGGGACACTACTTTAGGCGAGAAATACGACCTCGCCCGACCATGTAATCGCTCGATGCTCTTGTCTTGGATCCGTGCTGGTCGAGTCAGGGTTTGGTATGCAGGGGTACCTTGCAACGCGCTGACCCAGTGCCGCGATCATGGGATCGGGGCGCCGCCAGTACGATCCGATCTCCACCTTTGGCCTCCCGAGCCTCCCTCCTCATTTGCAGGCGATTGTCGATGTATCCAACACCCTGAACAGGTTTGTTGCCAATCTCGCTGGTGTGTCACTTTTTCTACGTGTGCCATGGAGTATCGAGAACCCTAAGACTTCTCGGCTGTGGCTCCTCCCACGCTACAAAGCCCTAGTGCGGCGCCGGGCCGTCTCTTTCCACGTCACCTCTATGTGCCAGTGGGGTGCGGCTTGGGAAAAAGATGCTGGCCTTCTCCTCGGGGACCTTGACCCGGGGCCGTTCTGTCAGTCGCGTCGCATAGGATCCAGGCGTGGCCTTTGCTCTCTTTCGGGGCGGGCTCACGAACAGCTGCATGGGTTCTTGCCCTCAGGAGGTTTCAAGACCAAGAGAGGGGCAGAGTACCCTCGAAAATTTTGCGTCGCCCTCGCTCGTCTCTTTCACAGTGCCGAGGTCAGAGCTTCCGCAGAGGTCGTACAGCGATCGTGTGGTTTGTGAGTCTCTTTTCTTCGGCGGTGCCAGCTTGCTCCGCAAACTCGGGAGCATGTTTGGTGTTATGTTCTGGGGTTGAGCTCTCACCCCAGGACTTGAGCTTGCCTGTGCCTCGCTCGGCGGTCTCGACGGCTGGATTCCGCCCGTGCTCAGTCTCTTGCAGTTGCTGGCAGAAACAAGAGCCCAAAGGATTGTCGTGATCTCACGGGTTTCCGATGTATCTTGTGGACCGCCGCCGTTCTGGTTGCTCAAGTCTTCCGCCTCCTCCTCTCCTCCAGTGCTTTCTTTTTACTGAGGTGTTATGTTCTGGGTTTGAGTTCTCACCCCAGGAGTTGAGCTTGCCTGTGCCTCGTTCGGCGGTCTCGACGGCTGGATTCCGCCCGTGCTCAGTCTCTTGCAGTTGCTGGCAGAAACAAGAGCCCAAAGGGTGGTTATGATGATGATGATGACGATGACACTGACGATGGCGATGATGATGCTGCTGATGATGCTGATGATGATGTTGATGTTGTTGTTGGTGCTGTTGTCATTCTTATCGTTGTGCAGTTTTTTTATATTTGTTGTTGATGCTGCTATTGTTGATAATGATTGCGGCGATGGTGGTGGGTGGTGATGATGATGCTGTTGCTGATGTTGCTGCGGATGATGATGATGCAATGATGAGGAGGAGGAGGGGGAACAGGAATACTATGATGATGATGACAATTCCCGTGGTCTTGTTGGTGGTGGCGGTGGCGATCATGATGGTGGTGATGATGTTGCTGCTGCTGCTGATGATGATGATGACGAGGACGACGATGATAGCAATGACGATGGTGATGATGATGATGACGACGATGCTGCTGCTAATGATGACAGTGATGACACTGAGGATGTTGATGATGAGGAATGCTGCTGCTGATGATCATGCTTGTAATGGTGAGTGCGGTAAGGCTGCTAACGATGATGGTGATGCTGCTGATGCTGATGCTGACGATGATGATGATTATAATGACGGTGCCGATTCTGATGATGCTGATGTTGATGTTGGAGATGTTGATGCTGATGCTGATGGTGGTGACGATGATGATAATGGTGATGATGAGATGATGATGATGATGATGATGATGATGATGATGATGATGGTGATGATGATGATGATGATGATGATGATGATGACGATGACCATGATGATGCGGATGATGATGATGATGATGATGATGATGATGATGATGATGATGAGGATGATGAGTACCACGTCGATGATGATCATGCTGGTGATTCCGGTGATGCTGGTATTGTTGGTGGTGGTGGTAGTGGTGGTGGTGGTTGTGATTCTTCTTTTGATGGCAGTGGCGACTATGTTAATGATGATCATCAATGTAATGATCCTAGTGTTGGTGATGCTGATGTTGATTACGGGGGTGATGCTCCTGATGCTGAGGCTGATGATCGTGATGTTGACAATAATGGTAGTGATGATGGTGATGATGCTGATGCTCATGGTGATGCTGATTCGCCTGACCATGCTGCTGCTGTTGTTGTTGGTGATATTGCTGCTGAACCTGATGCGGGTACTGAAGATGATGATGATGATGATGATGATGATGATGATGATGATGATGACGCTGCTGATGGTGAATATCAGGATGATGGTGATGCTGATGATGAATGCTGATGCTGCTTATGATGATGGTGATGGCGATGGCGATGACGATGACGATGACGATGATCATGATGCTGATGATGGTGATTATGATGGTGATGTTGATGATGATGCTGATGATGATGCTGATGATGATGATGATGCTGGCGATGTTGATGCTGATGCTGATTCTGGCGCTGGTGCTGTTGCTGCCGCTGCTGCTGCTGCTAATGATGA